TCAATATTCAACTGGCAAATTAAAAAAGGCCTCGTTCCAGATGTGTAAACCATGTCCCTGCCCTTTATTACTTGCAATGAACCTGCCAATTACACAAATAGGAATTTGTGCAAAATCTTATCAGGCAGCAAGAAGTTGCAATAATAAGTTCTCTCTCAGGACTTAATTCACATCTTGCTGAAGTGTCATCAGCCACAAAAATTCCTATTACTTAACTCCAGCGGAGCAATTCATAACCAATCCTTGCTAAACAAAGACCCCAAACTGACCTTGTGGTTATGACATAGATTACAAAGCAAATATTTAAAGAGAAGGAAGTGAAAGAAGTGTTTGGTCTTGAAGCTCACTGGAGAAGCATAAGGAAGAAGGCAGATGTGGGGGCTATGGGAGGAGAAAGAAGTGGCCCAAAATTCAAGGATACCAAAGCTATCAGAAGATGAAGGCAATTTCAGCAACCACAATGGTACAGCACAGATAGTATCAGTTTAAGCTTTCACCTCTTTCAGTGTGATCCAAGAAGTCAGGTCTGTCTTCATGCTATGATCCTCCTTAACCAGAAATTAATTCTTTCATTGCTGAGTGATACTTCTCTTTCAAATACAAAATGAGCAAGCTTCCTGTTCTGCATTCTCCTTTTCATATATGAATGCATTTCATTCTAATGTGTGGTATTAATGCAAGCACTAGTCAAGAGCTCACCTATTTTTCCAAGATCATGGTACATTTTGAGGCAGATTATCAGAGGTACTAAATTCATCCATGGAGACCATTAAGCAATGGCAGATTAATTTACAACGTCTTATATATACTACAGGGGTATAGGTTGTAGCAGTGTTGGTGTAAGGACATAGGCAGACAAGGTTCTTTCGGTAAATCTGATATGTTTTATTAAACTAACTCAAATCTTTGGAAAAATTCTTCTTTGCAAGCTTTCGGGTATAAATACCCTTAGACTGAGGAAGCATCTGCAGTTGGTCTGTCCTCTAGAGCACAGGATATTTATACCCCAAAGCTTGTAGAGAAGGATTTTTCCAACTATTTGAGCTGGTCTAATAAAAGATATCAGATTTACCCAAAGAACCTTATATACACTACAGTGTTTTGTAGCCACTGTTACCATTACTGCAGCCTCCTTGGTACTGACAATGATTGAAGTGCTAGGACAGGGTTGGCCAACCTGCAAAGCACAAGTGCCTCAAGTAATGTGGGCAGCCTCTGCATGTGGCACATGACAAATCAGGGAGGGGGCAGGCTGCACAGCAGCAGATAGGGCAGGAAGCAGAAAGCAGAGGCAGCAATCAGGCAGGAAACAGAGAGTAGGGAGCAGAAAGCAAAGCAGCAGGTCAGACAGAGGAAGTGGATTAGAGCGGCACTCATGGAGGGTGCAGGGCTAATTTGTGGCATGCCTGCCAAAAAGGTCAGCTCCACCCTGTGCAGGGACATATTGGGCTAAATCATTTTCAATACCATGTCAAGAAGTTTCTCTCTAAACTATTTGTCAACACCAGACATTGTTGGCAATGCATACAGAAAGTTCTAGTGTAGACAAAGCTCATGAGGCCACTGAAGGATATCAAGGACTCTCTCTCCCTCTAGTGGCTGATACTATCACAAGAATACAAACCTTAATAAATTTAGCAGTTCTCTTCTTAAGGTGGCAAAAACAAATGGTTTTGCAAAATGTGGTCTTAAGTTCTATTCACACCTATATGTATTTATCAAAGACCACCCCACACCTCCCTTTTCTATTCTGCTGTGATTTCTCTTTCCAATCCTTGTTTTATAATCTACCTATTTATTATCTATTGCTTTACACTAGACAGTCTTTATTGCTTGCCTTAACTGCTTGCAGTTTTTTGCTGGCTGTGGTCATCAGCTGGTTCTGTTCACACAAGCAGTAATTCGTATGGAGTTTTTTAGTCAGCTTGTAAAACTGAACCCCTGATTAAAAAAAAAACAATATGTAAAGGACTTCAGTGAAGGTTAGGTCAAGTTCTTAAAGGTGTACAACTCCCAGCCACATAGTTGCATTAAAGGAGTTGTATCTGTTTTGAAGCTTTAGAACATACCAATTAGGAACATGGACTACTTCAGAGATCTGAGACTGAGCAATGGCAGAAGGGGGGCTTTTTGTTTGTTTTTTTAATAATAAATGTACTCAACATGAGCGCTAGCTTTTGAAATACTCTAATATTTCTCATTCTTTTTTGTCATAACATTATTGCAGAATTTAATGAGATTAAGGAAGTTAATTCTGCACAATTTCAACCATATTCTTTCAAATGAAACTGACTTTCAATAAGAGTAGAAAGCTATAATTTAGGCTACGTCAAATTTCAGTCAGTGATGAACAGGGCCAAAGAACAAATCACAAGCTAAAAACCCTTTAGCCATGCATTTGTTAAAGAATCAGTGCAGTCTAATGAATAAGACAATGGCCAGGGATTGAAGAGACCCAAGTTCTCTTCCCAGTTCCAACACTGGCTATTGGTCAACTCTGGGCAATTCACATCACCCCTCTGTAATTCAGTCCTCAGACTACAAACTGCAGATAAAAGCACCCACTGCACTTTTTAAAATGTTCTGAGATGCACAGACAAAGAGCACCATCTGAGTGCTAATGATTATTGTTGATAATCATTGAATACTCTTTAAAAATAGACATTCAAACAAGTGAGCATGGTGAACACCTGAGAATTTAAAGCTGGATGAGAAAAAAATATAAAACAATGTCACATGCTATCCCAAACAAAAGTGACATGTATTCCTAAATTACCACAAAAAGAAGGGGGGGTGGGGAATCAGCTGACTGTCAGTCCCAGCCCTGGGACTGTACCTGAGTCTCCAGCTGGCTCCCATGTGGTCTCCGGACTGAGGCCAACAATCAGCTGATTGTCAGTCTCAGCCTGGGGACCACACAGGAGCTAGTTGGAGACTAGTGAGGGCACCACAAGGATCCAGTAATTGAAACAAAGCATGTACAGCTCACACTGCACAAGCTGTATGTTTTAAGATCACAGTAAGCATTACCATGTGACTGCTCAGAACATATTCTAACTTTAACATGTGCTAAATGTCCTGTATGACCAGGCCCTTTGTGGATATAGAATTGATCAAGTGCAACAACAGAAGACAACTGACTTCTGAAGACCACAAAGACTCAGATTAAATTTTCTCCTGCATATTCTCTGAACCATCTGCACTCTTTCAGCTCTCTGCCAATGGTTTTTTTTCCTCCAGCTCATTCACTGTACCACCTTTACCTCTTCTACCTGAATAATGCTCATAAAAGCCATCTGAAATCCTAGCAAACATTGAAAGCTTTGGAGGAAAAAAAACCTACCCACCCAGAAAGATATTAGGTAGTATTTTTACTATTATATGACTTATCTGATAAGCATCAGAGTGCAGAACCCAATATCACACCTTGGTTCACACAGGGTTTTATGGACAGAATTTATTGTTACAGCATCTGAAGGGGGAGGAAGGACAGGGGAAAAGGGAAGTGTAGCATAGCACAGTTGTTCTTGAAATCCCTTTCCTTCCACCAAGCTTTGACTCCTGTGGCAAAGGGCAGAGGCTGTGCACAGATAAAATGATGGCCACTACACAGTAACAAGCAAATATTATATATATTAGTCCATCTGTCTGTGTGCGTGTCTGTCTGTAATGCTCTTGGAGCACTCTGATTGGTTGTTTTGGCAGCAACAGTGCTTACTGAAACAACCAGAGTGCTCCACACAGACAGACAGCAGGGACAGAGCGGGGCGCTCCTTGGAGGTGGTGGCGGCATGGAGTGTTGGCAGAGGGGGATGGAGGGAATGGCAGGGATGAGTGGGACAGTGCTGGTGGGGGGGGGCGAGGCCAGCGGTACTCCCCTCCATCCCTACCGTCAGGGCGGTGCTCTGCCATCCCATGGGGGGAGGCATGGGGCCAACTGTGGAGTAGTGGGGAGGGGGTGGCACAGGGCCAGATACAGTGTGGCAGGGGAGGGTAGGGGTGTCATGGGGCCAGAAGCGAAGCAGCAGGGGGGTGGCATGAGGCCAGACACAGAGTGGCAGCAGTGCAGGGCAGTGGATGGCAGCAGCAGCCGCCATGTGGAAGCTTCCCTTTCCCCCCCTGCTGCTCCTGGAAGGTGGTGGCAGCGCAGGATGGTGGGTGGTGGCACTCTGTCCATGCCCACCCCCATCATTCTTGATGGGCAATTTATAACCACTTTTCTCTGGTGGGTTATCCTAACCTTTTTTCTGTTGGATTTCTGCCACCCTGCTCTCTGACCTGTGCCAAACAGCTTTAAACTAGGGCTACTGTATTATCTCCATAGAGGAAAGCCCCCAATACCTTAACGAATCTAAGTGAAATGAGGATTGCTTCTAACTACTCCTTGGTAAATAAGCAAGCTCTTTGTTTATAATGCATTAGTGGCTTATTCATTTACAAATTGCAGGACCTGAACCTATTCAGCCTCCACAAGAGAAGGCTGAGGGGGGACCTGGTGACCGTCTATAGACTCACTAGGGGGGACCAGAAGGGTTTGGGGGAGACGCTGTTTCCCCTAGCGCCCGCTGGCATAACAAGGAGCAATGGGCACAAGTTGATGGAGAGGAGGTATAGATTGGACATCCGCAAAAACTACTTCACAGTTAGGGCGGCTAGGAGCTGGAACCAACTTCCAAGGGAAGTGGTGCTGGCCCCTACCCTGGGGGTCTTTAAGAAGAGGCTGGATGCCTACCTGGCTGGACTCATTTGAGTCCCATTTCTCTTTTGGGGTTTTTTGTTGTTCTCCCGCCCTGGCGGGGGGTCGGCCTAGAAGATCTACTAGGTCCCTTCCAACCCTTAATCTATGAATCTATGAAAAATTGCATTAGAGGACAGCAGTTGTAAGGATGTGTATATGGCCTTCTGAAAATAAGCTGCAATTCTACACAAAGGCTCACTAACTTAGCACCCACACACCACTGGCATGCCCCATACCCTCCCTCAGGGAAATAGGGCATTACCTCAGCAAGTCGAGAATGCTTGTGAACGTTCTCTCCCTTCTGCACACTTGGAGCAAGCTGCTGCAGGACGCCCCGGCTACTTGTGAGGGCTCGTGTCAAGCGAGCAAATTTTCCCCAGCCTTGAGAAAACAGAGATTACACAGCAGTTACAAGAAACAGTCTGCATTCACATTGCATGAAGACTCTTCTAGCTCAAAACAACCTGACAGACCAAATCCAACAGTGACCCAAATATGATATCATTTAACCATATGTGAGATAAAGTCAGTCATGAAACAGGTGTCAGTGTAGTAAATGGGGGGCAGAGAGGAAGGGTATTCAGTTTCTGTGAAAGGAAAGCATTATGGGCATTAGGTATTTTCTGGGGAAAATATTCTGCCCTAGAATAACCTCTCATTTAAGTCAGTTATCTGCATCAGATCTCATTCCAATGAGAACATACTTCAGACTTATACAGATTGGAATCAGGCACATCAAGAGCTGCACCTGCTTACAACAGGAGTGAATTCAGCCTCAGAGATTTGGGGATTTGTGTGAATGTAGGCTAAAAATGCACATGGCATAACAAATAAAAAGCAGGTGAAAGCAACAGCATTACTGATTCTATATCCTTTACAAATGAAAGGGAGGAAAAAGAAAATGGAGTTCTTTTTCCAAGTCTTGGAAAACATTCAGCCACTTTAAGCCTAAAAATCATTTGCTGAATTTTAGCCGAAAGCACATTTTGGTGCTGATTCATAAACCTCTCAAATAAGGCCCTCTAATGTAATGCTGACAAAACTAGTTATAGCAGTGACCCTTATGATCCTCACTTTTCAATCATAATATCACAGCCAGAACATGTATTTGGATTTTTCTGACTTTCTAAAAGTAAAATATCAGTGCATTAGGTCCCAATCCAGCAAGACACTCAGCTCCTTCTAAGAGGTTGCTGAGCACCCCTCACCTCCCACTCCAACCAAGGCTGCCTAGCTCAAACTTAACAGGGCCCTGCTCTGGGAAAAGCTTTCATGGCATTCAGACTCCATTATGAAAATAAAATTATACTGTTAGGAGCAAGCATTATCAGCAGAACAGCAAAGGAGGTTAACCTGCAAGTATCCTATTAGAATCATTGGGATTCAAATGGTTAAAATGCTGCCCACTGCTTTGGACATTTTGTCAGTCCCTGTCCCATTGGGAAAGTGTTTGCTGGAACGTGAAATTCTAAATAGAGTACATTCCAAGGATTTGCTATTCAGTAGAACCTGCCAAGCCCAACATGTAAAAGCCAATATGGCATTGCTTCCAGGAACATGCAAAGAAGTGAACCACTTAAAGGGCAGGATCAAAAAAAACACTTGTTGAGGCAGAGAATATTTCCTACAAAACCACTAAGGAAACAGCTTTTGAAAGTAGCATTTTTTAAAGAAGCACTTGCTCAAAATCAACTGACCACTTCCCACAGCATTCAGCAGTACACAAATTCTGCATTTCTATCCAAGAGGCCAAACCTAACCTTTGTTTGGAGAACAACTTTTGTCCCCATGGAGGAGGAGCGCTCTTTAGAGAAACAAATCATTGCTACAAAGTTGATCAATCAACACAACCCTCACAAGTCCAAGGGAACCATGTTAGCTTGTGCCAGCTGGGATCTGGCTCCAGAAATAATGGGGGGAGGGTTGTTCTGTTTTTCCAGATGAGAAAAAATTGATACATTTTTAAGAAAATATTCTTCCCTCTGTGCCCTGATGAAATCCCATTAAAACTAATGGGCCCAATCTTAAAACCTGTTCTCATTCCTTTTGAAAGCACAACTCTGAATTGTAGGGCTGTGCAAAGCTTCGGTCCCGGATTTGATTTGGCGGAGATTTGGCAGCCAAATCTCTGAATCCAAACCAAATCAAGAGACCCTTTAATCTCTCCAAATCACATTGGAACCCTCCAAACTGATTCAGAGAGATTTAGAAAGATACTGCAATTTGGACATAGACACAGCTTTAAATGTTTTTGCTACATACCTCAAGGTACCAGGTGGCTCGTGAATGCTGAGATGCTGGGGCAGATGAAGCATCCCACAGGAGTGCAGGAGGCTCCCCAGCGTACTCAGCAGCAGAAGCTGAAGTGGGCCAACAGCACTTCCAGTCCATAGTTTCATAGTGTTTAGGGTCAGAAGGGACCTAAACAGATCATCAAGTCTGACCCCCTGCCCTGGACAGGAAAGAGTGCCGGGATCATAACACCCCAGCCAAATATCTGTCCAGCCTCCTCTTGAAGACCCCCAAGGTAGGAGAGAGCACCACCTCCCTTGGGAGTCCATTCCAGAGTCTGGCAGCCCTAACTGTAAAGTAATGTCTCCTGATGTCCAGCTTGAACCTTCTCTCTAACAATGTGTGGCTGTTATGCCTAGTAACCCCCAGTGGTGCCCGGGGGAACAAAGCCTCACCCAATTCCCACTGGTCCCCCCAGGTGAGTTTGTAAATGGCTTCCAAGTGCCCTCTCAGCCTTCTCTTGTGGAGGCTGAATAGGTTCAAGCCCTTCAGCCTCTCTTTGTAGGGCCTGCCCTGCTGCCCCCTGATCATGCGAGTGGCCCTCCTCTGGACCCTCTCAATGCTAGCCACATCCCTCTTGAAGTTCGGCACCCAGAGCTAGACACAGTACTCCAAATGCAGCCTGACCAACACCACATAGAGGGGAAGGACCACCTCCCTGGACCTCTTTGTGATGCATCTGTAGATGCACAACAAGGTGTGGTTAGCCTGACAAACCGCTTTCTCGCATTGGTGGCTTATGTTCATCCTGGGAGTCAACAATCACTTCAAAATCCCTTTCTGCCACTTCTGGGTCCACCAGAGAGTGCGTGTGGGCCCTCCCTCGCACCCCTGGCTTGGCAACTGGTGCCTTCTGGATCTGGGGGCACACCCAAGGTCCCCCCACAGCCGATCACCAAGCTGGATCCGCTTCTGGGTCTGCTTCCAAGCACACTGGGGAGCCCACCATGCATCTGTGGGACTCTCCATTCGCCCAAGCATCACAGCATTCCTGAGCTGTGCCTGGCACCTCGAGGTATGTAGAAAAAATATTTAAAAGCCGTCTGTGGCTGAATTGCTGATTCTCTGAATCAGCATCGAATCTTTAGATTCGGATTCACCCAAATCAAATTGGGAACCGTGATCTAAATCAATAAATCAAATCACTGTCCCTGATTTGGGCTGAATCCAAATCGAATACGGCCTGTTTCGCACACCTCTACTGAATAGCCCATTAGATGTTATGAGATGATGGCACAATGGAAGTCTCCCATAAGGGCTAGGTCCACAGCTGGTCTGCATCAAGATAGATCTTTTGAAGCTAATGGAGATGTGCTAATTTAAGCCAACTGAGGATCTGGCCAGAAAAGGTTCCTTTGGTAGGAACTTAGCTGGCTGCTGACATCAGTAGTTACTCATTGCCACTAATATAAGGGACTGAAGAATCAGGATCAATGAATTTACATTGCCATAAACCCACAGCAGTTGGAAGAAACTTTTTTCCCAATGTAAAGGTATTAAAAAAGCAAGAGTTTACAGTACACAAGGAGGTATGAATAATGTGTATTCCAGAGAAGGATTAATTATAAGTGCTGGCCATGGTGCTGAAGGAAGTGGCTTTAGGCTCTACATAAGGATTGTACACAAACATGTGTTAAAAACATTAAACCTGAAAGGTTAAGCTCTCAAAAGTTAGGAAGGACCAAAACTAAGACTAACTGTCTCATACATGAGATGAAGCTGACATCCTGTGAAAAAACAGAATGTGAACATGAGACTAAAGGCTACATCATAAAGTATACTCAAAAGGGAACAAATCAAATTTGCAGAGGCAAATCTTAGTTCCTTTATTTCTGAGTACTTGACTTCACCACCTTCACAATGGACATTTAATGTAGAATTTTGTGTAATTCCCTGTGTTTTAAAAAAGCAAAAACCCTCATAGAATTCCATTGTATGGAATCATATGGATACCTCTACATGGTTCAGCAACAGTATTTGAATTCTTCAGGCCTATAGTACAGATCCCTGCCATATGAGCAAATAGAGTAGCTGGTAGCAGTAGTGGATGTCATCCTTTATACAGAGCACAACTAGTGGCAGACGTGCAAAACATGGCCAGTGGGTATGATAGATATTTTCTGACAACAGAGGAAGAGAAAGAGAGACACATCCTGAAGCACCGTTCTACTGAAAAAAAGTCTGATCTAGTAGCGCTCTGCTCCCATATACCCAGATCCCTTTTGGTTCTCTCTTCTCCCTGTCTGTTTCCCAGGCCCACAGCACCTCATCTTTACACCCCTTTTTTCTTGCCCCATTTTCAGTCTATTTCTCCTGTTCAACACTCAGTCTTCCTCCAATCTCAGGCTCCTAATCCCGGCCTGCCCACCAGGCTCTTGCTCAGGCAGCCCCAAATCTCATCTGACTCATTTACCTTTACACTACTACAATCCCCGACTCCACCAACAGCCAGCCCTAGACTGTCTCACTCCAACCCGCCAGTCCCAGTTTCTGCCCCTCCTGCTCACTCCAAATCCCAGCCTCTCCTTCTGACTCCTCGTCTCAAACTGCACTCCTACTTCCCAGCAGCCTGTCCACTCTGCAGTTGCGTCAAGCTCTTTCTTCAAGCTGTCTGGGTATCAACAAGGAGATCACTGAAAACAGAGGAGTCTCTCTGCTTGTGTCTCCAAGGGATCAAAAACCAGTAAATGTAGGACAAATCCTGTTCAGCATCCCCAGCCTGAAACCTTCTTTGTACAGATGGAATATTGAGAGAATTTAGTTACCGAAATGTAGTAAGTCTCTAGGGAGCATGTGGAAAGCATGATTTTTCAAAGTGTTCACTTAAATAGAGCAGGATGCGTGTTTCACAGAGATAGCAAAAGGTAATAGTTCTAGGTAAAGCTCTCTGCCATTTCTCAAGTCAAAGTACGGTGGTACTCTATACTTTATTTCTCAAAGTATGGTGGTACTACTGTGCCTCAAAAACCATGCACACACAGGCTCCTACACACACCATTTTTAAATACCAGCATTATGTAATAGGACTGGTTGATATCCTGGATCCCACTGCCTGTCCCTTTTCCATTCTTCTAATTTACTACTATCCT